TACAGTACATGCATTCGTAAATTTAGATTACTTTTTTCTGTACTATATTAAAAACTAAAATTTATTTGTTTATAAGCTTAAAATAGATCCTTATTAACCATATATTATTAAAAATGCATTAATAAATAAAATACAGAACCAGGAGTGGTAATTTATGGTTTAGCCTAGTGACAAGTAGATTTGGAGACAAGTAAATTCGACTTACGTCACCTCTCCTGGAACCAATTACCGACGTAAGGTAAGGTATACCTGTATATACACACATACATACAAATAACTTCCAATAGGAAAACCAAAATGAAAATCACAGTATATTAAGTATTGCATTAAATTTTTAACTATAGTAAGCACATAGTGGTGTGTGACCTAGAAAAACTAATGCAGCCACTATCTTATATTGTAAAAAAAAATATTGCATTAAAGCATTAATAATTCATAACTTTGAGATAGATAAAATTATGTTGGAACTGATCAGTAAATCTTTATCAAAGTGTGCCTAAAATAAACTGATTCACTTCCTTTTTTTTATTAGTGATTCTTAATATGACAATAATTTAATAAAATATGTTTCATACAATGTATGTTGGTAATATATCACTAAGTTTTCTCTCTGAATTTTTCAGAGATAAAACTATTTTAATATACAATTGCAAAACTATTGAGATAAGAAAGATAAGAGATTATATATGGTTTCTAAAATTTATTGTTGAAGTGATAAATTTGTTACAGTTTTATAATAAATTTTCAAAAATTTTCATTCTCAACATCAATGCACCTTGTAATTTGTCTGAGAACATATGTTGCTTATTGAGTTAATCTTGATGTTCCTATATACAAAGAACAGCATCCATTATTCAAATCAAGCAGCTCACCTTGTGTATTCACTTGTCTTTTGTAAACTTCACTCATCTAATCCCATAAATACAAATCAAATAGGATTAGGTCTGGAAATCTTAGTGACCAGTTAATGTACTGCCATGACCAATCCACCAATTAGAAAAAACATCATTGATACGTTTGCTTCTCAAGGGGATAGAATAAGGATGGGGTCCAGGAATGCAGTTATAGATTAGTGTCCAGTTAGCAAAGTCCTTCTGCATCAAAGGCCACACAAAATGTTCTTGGACTAGAAGTCTCGTGGCACAAATTACTGGGTGGGCCAAATTGTGCATGGAAGAGATTTGATGACAAAATTGGAGAGGTATATAGGGCAAACCTTGTTGTCCTTTGTGTCACAATATAGTTGTAGTGATGGGCTGATTTGAAGTGATTGTAGCGGGAGTGATATTTTGTTGTCTGTGAGGAGTGCAGGTAGCTCATTGTCATTAGCTTGAGCTTCTGCTATGGTGGTAACAGGAAGTCTAATCTCGTTGATCTGAGAAAGGGTGTCTGCCACAACGTTGTTCGAGCCGGTGATGTGCCTGACGTTAGTGCTGAACTGTGCAATGTAACAGATG